GACAGAAGGAAGCGTCTCCTTTGACTTGGAAATAACAAATTCTGCCGCGGCATGCTGGCTAAGACAAGAGGAAAAACAATTTCAGAAACTGAAGGAGTTTCCAAAGTTTCACACGCTTAAAAGTCAAATTTCAAATTTAAATTCTTGCTCTAAATTACAAAATCCACGAACAAAACAACAGAAGTACCTGTCTTTAGATGCTCATATCCTTCCATTAGATATATACTGACGTGTAACAATGACGTAAAGGTTATTGTCTAGCTGTTATTGTATATAGCACAACAAAGCACACTAGAGAGCTATTGTGTATAGCTATAGTGTATAGCACACAGCAAACTAGGGAGATCTATTTTCAGCCTGGAAAAAAGGAATATACATCATTTGGAGTGTTTTTCTAAGTGGTTTCCTATTCTTTCAGTGTTTCCTGGTAGATCAATGTTGAAGGAAGCGCAGAGGAATTACTAGTGGTTACATGTGTGAGAAAGACTCAAAAGATCTACACAAGGTAAGGTTTGTGGGAGGTGCCGTTATCTTTTACTAAATCAAGAGATGTAATTGGGAGAAAGAACCATGGTGTCAGGCGTATGGCTCTGTAAAAATTTTTTGTTACTTGTTATACAATACTTAATTTGCAAATCCAACTGAGACTTCATTATCCTGCATAATTTTCCTTTATCATCGTTCTGGTATTGCACCGTGTGCACTAGCAGTCAAGCTCTTGGTTGCCATCTGCTGTCGCTGTTTTCCATTAAACCTATGTTCTGAAGAAAAATCATTTTATTGACAAAAATACAGTGATCCTTCTACTCAAACTCCGTTCGGTACCAAATTAGCTTAACATAAATAACCTGACATCACACTACAATCTGAGCAAGACCTGCACATCCGACCATGCAGCATTAAATTCCACACACAGTTTGAAAACACCATGTTTGATTTATTCATAGCATCTACTTTTAGTAGACAGTAGAGTTTTTCTTAGTAGCTTACCAATAACTGCAGAAAACACGGTAGTAAATGGTATGAAAACATTGAGTGTCTGTTTGCCTGAGGACAGGCTGCTTTCTCTTTCCTGTCTTTACTTTGGGGATAGTTAGGTTTTATTTCACTGGAATGTTATATAACATTTACAATTTCTGGCACCCATAGTGCACACTTGCTTGCTGGAGGATTTCACTATTGGACATTCCAAATGTTTCAGTAGAAAGGCATAAATAGCGAAGAAGCTAGCAATAAATCCTTACTATTTTTAGGTTCAGTTTGATAAAGCAGAATAAAGCAATTAAGATTAAAAGGGGCAATTTTACTGAATCTAGAAAACATACTATAAATACTGAAAACTTACCACTTTACCAAGGGATGTAACTCTCTGCCATTAAACCAAAACTGGGAATTGGGAAACATTTGCAGTGATTTGCCAGGCAAGGAGGAACAGTTTCCTATCCAGAATAATGTAGTAAGGTAGATTAATAAAGAAACAGAACTTCTTCTCCTGCAATCTACATTTAGAGCTTTTACTTCAAAAAGTAAGAGCACACAAAAATGCTTACACTGCGTATAGGAACACACGGGTATTGGTGAAAATGTGTTCTTAAATGTGCATATATTTAGCCCCTTTTTATTAATGTCATACAAAATGCAGCATTGCAGGAATGGCTATGGCTTCATTTGCAATGTTTTCAAGGAATAGATAACTGTTTGCTAGTCATATCGGGCAGCCAGCAGGTTGTCCTGCAACAGATCTAGAAGCATACAAGAGGAAGTGAGACTAATAAAAATAAAAGGATCAGTTCCAAAATAGCAAAACCCCCTCAGCTGCTGATTCTGCAGCACTCTGGACTCATTGCAATTTTGCACTTTGGTGGCTGAAGAGGATGATAACTAGTGAGTGTTAGGGGCTTTAATATTACACTAATAATACTGTGCATGCAAATGACATAGCAATAGATGTGATTCCTTATTTCATTGTCAAAACATGAATGATTATGGATGAAAAGCCACCTTTCTGCTCTGGAATATGTTATGCTCTGGAATATGGTGGCAACCAAAGCCATTTATGGCTGAACGATGCTTTCCTTTTCTGGTTCAGTTTTGAAAGCTGTCACAGTGTGCTTTATGATCTAGCAGGTCTGTTATGTTTATAGAGGCAGCAATAAACTCCCAGCCAGTTCAGCAGATGGCTCTGCTGTGTTACTTCCATGCTTGCACATGTGTATTAAGATGCAAATCCAGAATATCACCATATGCTAATGTTTGGTAAAAAGACTTTTATTTCAGGATCTCAACTTAATGAACACAAGTGAATTGCAAAGGAAGAAATACGGCCAGAGAGAAGAAAATCAGCTGTGGTAATCAGCTTCAGCAGCAAAAACAGTGCAATCAGTGAACAATCTGTGACCCTTTAGCTCTGGTGACGCATTCCCAATCTAGTTTTGTTTTACCTTTAGCTGCTACTCATCTCTTAAGCATCAAGCAGTGTAGATGGTACAAATGCAGTGACTCCAGGGTCCGTATATCTGTTATTCCTGTAACTGCTGCAAAAGCATGGAGTCTGGGCTGGCAGAAGGAAGGTTTGCATTTGAGGAGAAATAGGTCAGATAGCGGAAAGTAAAAACAAAGACAGACATACAACCTTACTTCCCCAGCAGGCTTAGCTCAGACATACTGAAAGCACAGCTGCTTGAAAAAAATTCACTGTTCATTGCGAAAGAACATTGCCCAGCAGGCTCAAGAGTGTGGTAAGGTCTCTGTCCATATGAGCCTCTGACATATAAGCTAAGCACACTGCAGTAAGAAGCAAAAAGCAGAAGGTTCAGCATAAAGCCTTTGCTTGTGACACATCTCCTATGATTTGTGACTATTACAAGAGGTTAATTTTCTGTGTGAAGGCTCCATTTCAACATGCTGTTAGTAAAGTGCTGGTGGAAAGCAGAAATACTGAGTTTTCATGCACTAAGTCCATTCACAGGTCAATAAGATTACCGGCTTTTTTCATCCAAGTAGATGTCCCCACAATGACTGTTGTCCTGTTTGTCTTAGTGAAACCATTCTCCTCTTCCTCAGTTCCCACGCTGTTCAGAGGGAAGAATTCTAATCCCAATAGAACGGTTTAGAAGGAACCTCCAAAGGTCATTGGTCCAAGTCACCTGCACTGAGCAAGGACATCTTCAACTAGACCAGGGTGTTCAGAGCCCAATCCAACCTGATATCTGGAGTCTCTGCTATCACCTAATTAAGATAAACAACAAACCCAGCACATTGATGTTGTTATAGCTAGCAGTAAAGGAAAAGTGTGCTGTAAGCATTTTCTAAGTATACAGAAACCATCAACCATCAATTTCTTGATGGTCCACGGAACTCACACAGATTTTTGTAGAGCATTACCACGCACTAAATCATCTCTAAACAGTAATGACATATATATGAAAGTTTAGTAGTAATAAAAGATCAAAGTTTTATATTTTTTAAGGTTAAAAACACTATAAAACCTGAGAGATTGTGTTTGAGGGTGCTTATATTAAAGATATATAAAAGGAAATTGAGACTGTGGGTGAACAAAGGTGAGAATGTATGTCATCTTCCTCATACTAAAAAGCTGTGAGCTTTTTAAAAAAACTCCTGGGAATCCTCAGTGGAAAATATGGTATAGTTGACATATCTTGAGTTTTCAGTGCAAGGCCCAACAGCAGTTAAAGTCCAACAGCACAAACCACTTCATCAAACCTAACTTGTGACAGCTTGTTTTCCAAGTGGAAGTCCATGTAGTGAGTGCTTTTCCATTTGTCTCACTGAATCCATCTTCCTACTCTAAAGAAATGAGCCAAAAATAACAGACTGTTTATAAGAGTTCCATAGATTTTGAATAGTACAAATAAGAAAATTTTAATAGAGGCTCTTTTTGTATTGGGCTGCCTCTGATGGTAGCTGCTTTAAAGACAACAAAGTAATAATACACGGGCTTAGGTAGTGATAAAAGAAGGTGGCTAAAACGTTTCAGGAAGAAGGCGACGAGTGGTTCCACATTACGCTGACAGCTTGCCTAAAAGCAGCAGATGACTTCCCCAAATAACCCTGGTCAGGTAGCAGCTGTGCTAGATGCACAAGTCTGGTATGTTATACTGATAAATAAGAAATGCCTCTATCCCAGCCAATGGTGTTAGACTGCTGGAAGGCGAAACAAGAGCAGAACTGCATCCCGTGTCCCGCTGAAGCAGAGGGTGCATAAATACAGAGATAAAGCAGTATTTAGAAGATTAACACCCTTTTTTTCTATATCTGGGGACTTCAGCCTGTCCTACAGTGCTTGTAAATTGTACGTGTAAGATATTTCCCCTTCCTTCTACACAAATCTTGCCATGACAAGTCCCAAAACACACGATACTCTACACTCTGCCGAGCCCCTCAGCTGTAAAAGATGACTTCTATCGAGTATCTCCAATGCTCCTCTGGAGTATCTTTATAGCTCTTGCTATTTCTCAACAAGCTGCTTTAACTTTCTTTTAATAATCCTGCCTAATGTTGATGATAACAAACTCTTTGTTCCCCTCCTGCTGCTCCAAAAAAATCTTTCGTAGTTCTAGTTCTGAGAGTTCACATATGTGGGCCTTGGAGTGCAAAAGGGTTGGCAATAAGCAACACGCTTTTTCTCTTGGTACAGCTAAGAGCTTCTGCTAGGGCTGTAATTTATTGAGATGTCTTTCACTAAGAGGTTTTATGGCACGAAGTTACATCCTGCTCTTCCCACACGGCTATTACCCTCCACTGCACTTGTGAACGAGAAAGCCTTCTAGAGACTACCTAGTAGCAAGAACTAAGCAGTGGTGTTTTGCAGATCCTATTCTTTAGCTTACTCTTTCATTTCCCCTTATTCAACATTATCACATTATGTTCCCTCTTCTTATGTGCTTTTCCTCTTCACAAATCTCTTTAAACAGCTGCAAAGGGGGAGGGACCACTGTGCTCACGAAAACTCCACTTTGCAGAATGCTTCTGTAAGGTCCTACTGTCTGTCTCTTTCCAGGCATTGAATACCTCCAAGATTCAGATTTGCTTTAACATCTCTTCCTTGTGCATCCCTGACAACAGAGCTTATTGCCAGCTGAAGAACAGTAACTCACCTCTTCTTGTTACTGCCATGAGGAATACGTGCACCCTCTTTCTCTTTGTAGTGAGCTCCTTTCATTTTAACGGTAAGTGATGTTTTCTTTCAGCTACAGTTTGCAGAGCAGCAATAGCTTGTGGGGCTTGGAGGTAGGACTGTGCTATAACCTCTCAGACAAGTCTAACAATCACCTTGGTAGGCTGCAGACTTTAAGAGGATGCATGAAATGGATTATTTTAGTGTTGTTTCTGGCTTGATTGGTATCAGCAAATCCACTATGAGGGATATGGACAGACAGTAAGATAAAATGACGGAACAGTGGAGATGACAATGATAATCACTAAATAATATCCCTTTATATGCTCCCAGGATCATCTGTGATGGGAAAAGCAGGTATTGTGAGTGAAAAAATACGAAATGAACCATAACTTGACCCATAAATCAAGCAGAAGTCATCCCTCCCCACTTACTGGCTCAAGTTCATGTATTTTGCAAAGTTCATACTTCCTAATGGTTTTATTAGTATGTAAATAGTTTAAATTAATTATGTAAATAGAGGCTAAAAAAAGCAAACATACATTAAGAACATGTTCTTTAGTCCACCAGGATTTCTTGTGTATGTTAAATCAGATGCTAAAGCCAACATGAACAGCATGAAACAGTGCATTTACCATGAGAGCTTCTTCCCACAGAGACTCCACTGGTGTTCAGAGTGAAACTGGCTGAAATTGAGCCAAGACAAAAATCACATCTTTCCCATAATTACCTATTCATCCCACAGATATTTTGGTTCTTCAGTCACTGAAAGGCAACTTTAGAAAACATATGCTTTGTAACAAATGAAGAGTGAGGGCCTACTTCAGATTCTTTACACTCTTTTAAACCCACTAGCATTTCCTTTTTATTTGCATTAATTGCAGTGTAGAAATTATAATAGTCTTTTAAATACAGTAAATTCACTACTACTTCCATTGGAACAATCAGTGTTCTAAGAAGTTAAATGAATCTTTTTACTCGAGAGTGTGCTGAGAAGTACCACCACCACCAAGTAATTTCAGAGAAGATAATGGGATTGTCTTATCACTGCTTTTTGCTTAGTCTTTACTAATTACAGATGGGAATATGGTATGTCACCACTGTCCACATCAGTTCCTTGAGAGGAGCGAACAAGAAGGATAACATATGCTACAATTTATTATTTCTAAACAAAAGCTATTTCAACATTTATTAAAATAACTGAAGTCCCGGAAACATATTATATGTTGCAATTTAGAAAGGATAACTATGCAGTTGCCTGCATTTGTCAACACTGGTCCTCATTCTGTTCTGTGGAAATCACTCCAGCATTTTGTCTTTACACTGAAAATAAAACGCAGAGGATGACCAGTTATTTCATTTTCTAGATTTACATTAGACCATGTAAAAAGGAAAGTTTGCAGAGGGGAGTGGATGAAGTCTGTGGTTTTGTTGGTTCTGCTGTGGAATTGGAAGCACCCTGATGCAAGGGGTTATTTTAATGGTCATAATCCTGCAGAGAAAACAAACATTGAAGAATGAGTACTGAAAGTTACGTGGCAATTTGCTCTCCTTGTCGTGGAGCAGATGTGTAGTGCGTTCAGTGAAGCTAAAACAATTTCCCTAGCTTAGGATCCATCTCAGTGTGTTTTTTCTATTACTGCTTTCAGTACATAAAAACCACTCCACTCCCAAATGAAGACTACTTCGTCATTCCAGTTAAAATCCCTTCTCTAAAAGCATCAGTCTCCCCTCTGCAAGGGAAACTATGCACTCCGTTCCTTCCAACTCAGAGGAAAAAGAGGAGTTCCAAATTCAGGGCTGCTGACATCACGAAGTGTGCAAAAACGAACGTGAACGCTTGGCAATTTTGTTCTCATTGGGTGCCACCTTGTAAATATGTAGATAGGTAATGGAAAATAAAAATTACACAAGAATGGCTGATTTTCACACGTTATTTACAGAGAGATTAGCTCTAGCAACCCTTAAAGCAGTGCCCTGCTGACATCTAGTGGTGTTTGCTACAGCCATCCGAGTGAGATGAGAGAGTAGTCCCTGCCTTCTGTTTTCTGATGCCTACGTTATTTACCGGTTGGGATGTGATGCCAATTTTATAAAGAATTATTCATGACAGAGACCCCTTCCCTGGGGTCAGATCACGGCTTCTTAAAAGGATTCATTAGCAAACATTTTTTTAGAATTAAGTTGTGGCCTGCATGAAGTTTGTTGAAGGAGGCAGGACTTTGAGATCTGAGCTGCTCTTATCAGACATGCAGACCCCGCAGCAGGGTTTGATTCGCAGACCAGACAACTATGATTACTCAAACCAGGTTTCAGATAATAGGATTATTACAAATTCAGAATGACTCCTGTACAAACATTCTGTAGTCTCTACTCCTTCCTCCCTGATTAGCAAATCCACGATATGCTGGGATAGTTACAGAAAATATGGCATCACAGTGAAAACACATTCAACAACTCAAACTGCTTTCAGTGACCACTATATGCACCAAACCAAACGACATTGTGTTTATATTTCAATATATTTCAATTTGTTTTCCCAAATGGCTTGAGAAGTATTTGAGAAGCCTATTCTGAAGAACAATGTTAAGTATATGTATATGGGTTAAGTATACGGCACAAAACTTGCGCTACTAACGTCATAGCATATGATGATCTTAAAAGAATTACAACGAGACTGGTCTTTATCTCAACCTTTTCCCAAAGCTTGTTTAAGAGCGGGCTCTAGATATGAAAAATCTGTTCAATGTTTCCTTCTTTGTCTCTCCACCTTTTTGCTGGATCAGAAACAAGAAGTTTGAATAGTATTTTTTTAACCTGAGTGGAATTCAGAAGTACCAAGTTCCACAAGAGACTTGTTCTCCCTTAAGGAACTTACATCCCTGTTCACATGGAAACTAAGAAACTAGAAGTGCACTCAAAATTTGTGATTCTGGCCTTTTGTTGTCTACCTTTCTCTGGATCTCATGGATATGCTACAGCAAAAAAAAACCCAAACACCCAGAACAAATTAATGTAGCAGGCACTTTAAACACTTACATGGCCAGTGTTTTTTATAGCGTGGAACTGCTCCAGGGCATAATGGAGCAAATATGCTGTAGGGACACCATCCTCATTTCTGCAATGTCTACTTTTAGTTAGGTGCCCTTTCCTATGATAGAATCATTGTATCAACTGGATTAGAATCTGTTTTCATTAACACTTATAGCCATCACTGTCAGCTGAATGACACAACACAGAATTACTCAACATACAGCAGAATCTCCTGGGTCAATCAATTCTGTTGGCAGGATGTTACCAGGACCTTAGTGATCTGTATCATTATGTGGTCAGTAGAGTTTAAGAAGTCAACTAGAATGGCTTTTAAAAAGCACAAGCAAGAAAATGTGGGACAGCTGCTGTTGGTTACCTCTGAGGCTGTGTCACAAGCTTTTCTGCTCCATGGAGAAGGTGCAGGCTTCTTTGACTGTAGCCGGCTGATACTGTGTTTTGCAGTCACTGAATTCCAGCTTTGGCCACCTAAGATTTACAGTATTTGTGCTTATCCATTAATTGGGGTTCGTTTCCACATAAAATAAGGCTTACATATTGCCTCAGGTTTTAAATAAAGTAGTTCTGCAACAGATACATCACTAGGTACCAAAGAGCTCCCTATCATTAAAAAAACCCTTAGAGCCCCTGCCACTGATCCCCTGGTTTTCCCTATATAAACCAATCTTTCAATTTGTACATGTGCCTGCAACTCCGTCTCCTAAGACACTAAAGAAAGAAGTCACAGCTGGACTCCCTGTGTTTGGATAATTGAAACATTCTTCTTTTATTGAGGGTGGTCTGCTCCCAGTTTCTATTTCTTTACATACTTCCAAAAGCATCTATTTGAGCCTCACATTTTACTGTGAAAAAACCCACAAAGGGTTCTGATTTACCTGCTTTGAACCACGCTCTGCGAAAGACAACTTCAACGGAACAGATACTGGTGCAAGCATCATGTCCTTCTGTTCACACAAGCCTGGAGTCTTTAGAAATATCAAAAGCCTGTCTTCATGAAATAATGAGGTCTGATGCACAGAAATTCGGTGACCCTTACATTATGTCTCTTGCTCTCCATTCTATAACCCTGTTATGTGCTGTTTGACAGGAAGCACTGCAGCAGACGTTGAAGAAAAGCTAATGAACCACCTACTGAGTCCTGACAGGTACAATAAATTAATCCGACCAGCTGTCAACTCATCCCAGTTGGTATCTATAGAACTGCATGTTTCCCTGGCACAGCTCATCAGTGTGGTAAGTTCTAATTAGGCCATGCCTTTTAATTCATTACTACCTGCACAGCTTTCCAAGTGAAACTCACGCTGGACTTACTATGTCCCTGTTACTTTCTACTTTACGTAATAACATAGAGTAGGCAGGGCCGTCCATGCAAGTCACTGGTTTTCATTACTTCAATATGCAGCTACAAGTGGAAGATCAATCCATGCCTAAGCAATAAAAGACAGTGGCCAGATCTTCATCCAATAAGTTGCCATCAAGCAAAAAAACCTAAAATCATCCCACTGATTTCATTACAGCTGCAGTAAGTTTCACCAGGTCAAGATCTACCCTGGACAATGTATGCAATGCTAAATTCTCTTCTGCTGCTTGCATCAGAGAAATGTGTTTGAATGGCTTAAAAACAAGCTACAAAGAAAGGTCAAAAATCTCATGGCGGATCAGGTGCATCAGCAATAAGTGAAATATAAAGAAAAAGCCATATTGGCCCTGGCTCGAGTATCTTAACATGGTTAAAACAATCCTCATGTAAGCAACACCTCATATTCAATAAAAATTACTTCACTGGGCCTGAAAGACATTTTCATTCTCCAGGTTAGCTTGTATTTAACAGTTCTTCCAAGGTACAAATACACACCTTGATGCCAAGAGAGTTTTAGCATTAACTGTAGTGGAAAAAGATCCAGAACATAAGTGGGAATGATTTCCTGAATGGGGGCTTTTAAACTCTGCTGCTCATTCCCTGGATGAAAAGTAAGATACAGATGTCTCCCTCCCTGCCAGAATTTGTGTATGGGCTAGTGACTGGACTACTGCAAACATTAAGAGATTAATAAATTAGAATTTATAGTCTAAAATTCAAAAGGAAAAGTGAGACACAGATGGAACATAAGGGAACCTGTACAGAAAGATGAGCTATTTTACACACATGCAAACTAATTTATCCAGGATAAATGTATACCAGCTGCCTCTGGGGCAAGTGCTCTTTCTCTCCTGGACACTACACTCGTGGGGTTCCATCAGTATGTGCATGAGACTGACCAGCTTACCAGCAGAGAAATGCTTGTCTTGAAATACACTAGATGAACTCATGCTGCACAGTTGAAAATATCCACAAAACCCCACTGAATAAATCTTACCACTGCAGAAAATTGAAACATTTTAGAGAACTACTTTCCCTCCCTTTTTCCCTGCAGAATGAACGGGAGCAGATCATGACTACAAATGTCTGGCTGAACCAGGTAACCAAGCCCACAGAGGCATGCTCTTGCAAACCACAAACGCTACTGCTTTCACGCCATCACAGCAATTGCTTTTTCAGTGCTGGTTGGAATACTCCCGTGATGGGAGTATTGTACAGTTCTGTACAATTCTTCTTTTAGGAGTGGGCTGATTATCGTTTGGCATGGAAACCCTCTGACTATGAAGGAATAAACAGGCTGAGAATACCTGTAAAACACATCTGGTTGCCAGACATCGTGCTTTACAATAAGTAAGTAAAACTTCTGTAGTTTATGCAGACAGTGAAAAAAGTTTTAAGCATGTATCAAGAAACAAGGCTTCAGAATCAATGAAGTAGGTCTGACAACATTCTAAAACTGAATTTTGTAGCTTTTAAACAATATCTGACTGGGATACTGGCCTCAAAGGTAATTTCAGTAATTTAGGGCTCTGGTTAAAGAGATTCCAGCAGACCCGGAGCATGTCTGCAGTGTGAGCTGTTTCACCACCACAGATTCTGTGACAACTGAGACATAGATTTGTACCAAACTATACTACACGAAAGCATGAACTATAGATACAAGTGCAGCCATACACTGGTCATGTTTGCAAGACAAGACGTATGGAATTCTATCGTGAGTCTTAAGTTCTGCGCTAAACAGCCATTTCCTACTTCTTCTTTCCCTCCCTTCAATTTTTTTAATTGTTTTGAAAAATTGAGGATAAACGTATTACGAAGTTCACATGCACTAGACCAAAATGAGTAATATTCACTTACGAAATCAAATTATATTCTGTTTTCATAAGGCATTAAAAAATCAATTATAAGAATACATAATAAATCTGTCAATACTTGGCCCCGTTGTCTTACAACTGGAAATCAGTTTTGAAAAACACTTAAAACTATTGTATTAGTCATAAAATAATTCAGCCAGTGAATTAGGATGTACTCTGCCAGGTGAAATCTTGTTCTGGTACACTGTGCCCTTGCCCTCTGCTTCTTTCTTCCTTACGCACCAAACAATACCATTTAATGCATTGTAAGGATGGAAAGAAACAGTTTTAAAAGGCTTCTTAAATGTCTGGGAATAAGGTTTCAGCCTCACTCTGTTAGATTTTTACATTAGTACAAAACTTCAAAATAAAACTCTAGGACAACCACCTCTAGCTTTCTGGTGCTGAAGCACATGTTTCGTAGGCATCAGTCAGGTCAAGAAGGTGCAAAGGAAAACACACAGAGCATCCCCATGCACCACAGCTCTGTATTTATGTAGCCTGTGCACAGGACTGCAGAGAGCACTGAGACAGGCACCAGCAGCTCAACCCCAGTCCCACAGCTGAGCATGGGGCATTCAGCAGAACCTACACAGTCTCAGCCCAGGACTCTACCCTGTACATTGTAGGGCAATGTATCAGGGAGATACAAACATGTGAGAAATAAGAAACTACTTCACTACTAAAACCCAGCAGTTTTACTAGCAATGAACTAATGCCCCCTGTATGCTGTAGCCACTCAATTCTGTATCTGGTTGTTTTGCTGCCTACATAAATTAGGTCTCAGCTGAGACAAAGGTCTCAGCTCATTGCCAGGCACCAGGGTTTGCAACATGAGGTTTTTCCAGAGCCAAATATAACTGATCTGGAGAGCAGCTACCCATGTGCCAAGCTTGGGATCCTTGTCGCACTTCCCTGCTTAGAAATAAATCAGCCTTAGAACTGAAATAGCTCTATTTTCCAAGAGGCCTTCACAACAGAAATGATTCATTAGACTTTTCAACAACATAGCACACTTGAGCAAAAGCACTGAATACAATCAGAAACACTAAATTTCAGAAATATTTATCAGCAACTGATCACATTTCTACTTCAGGATACTCCATAAACAACCCTGAACTCTTTGCCTGGCCAGGAACTAGACAGTAGAAGATATTGACTACTGGCTTACAATGATCTCTCTGAGTCAAAAGGCCCAGCATACACAGAAGACTCTCTTGGTGGAAGTTCAGCAGCTGGAGAAAATACAAAGCCAAGAACACTTTGGCTTGTCTGTTCTGGTTTTGTAATAAGTAAACGTTAACTGGAATGGCACAATAAATTATAAACCGTATCATTACATTTCCTCTGTCTACAGTCTCCCTGCATTTAACTAATGCTGCTCGTCCTTATTTCCTCACTCAAGTTCTTTAGGAGAATTGTTGTCTTCCAGACCAAAGGTACCTTCCATTTTCATGCTGGATGATCTTATTTGTACTCAGTCATCATAGATGTAGTAATCCTTAATTATGTTAACTAACTTTTACAAAACTCTTTGAATTCTTTGGATGAGAGAGAGACGCAGGTTTATTATTTAATAATTATTTTCTAAAATAATTTTTGTAAGTGCATATATATATATATAATAAATATAAATTCTCTGACTGGGAGAAATGCATATCTTCATCTCCCTATCAAGTTATAGCTCCCTACAACATAGATTTCCAAATCAAAATACTACTAGACTTTGATTACAAAAACAACTGAAGCCCATAAGAATGTCAGAGCTCTTCTGGTTTGAACTATGTTGTTCATCTTAATGTTTTCCTACCTCCTCTCCTTTTCCTTTCCTCTTGTTTCATTAGTGCGGATGGCACGTACGAGGTTTCACTCTACACAAATGCACTTGTAATGAGCAACGGAAGCATTCGATGGCTGCCACCAGCTATTTGCAAGAGTGCCTGCAAGATTGAAGTGAAGTATTTCCCATTTGATCAACAAAACTGCACATTAAAGTTCCGGTCTTGGACATACGATCATACAGAAATTGATATGGTGCTTAAAACTTCCATGGCAAGCATGGATGACTTTACACCAAGTGGAGAGTGGGACATTGTAGCACTCCCAGGGAGAAGAACTGTAAATCCTTTGGACCCCTATTATGTCGATGTGACATATGACTTCATTATTAAAAGGAAACCTCTTTTTTATACCATCAATCTTATCATCCCCTGTGTGCTAATTACATCCTTAGCCATCCTGGTCTTCTACTTGCCTTCAGACTGTGGTGAAAAAATGACTTTATGCATATCTGTGTTGCTTGCCTTGACTGTGTTCTTGCTCCTGATCTCCAAAATTGTCCCTCCAACATCTCTAGATGTTCCACTGATTGGGAAGTACCTAATGTTTACAATGGTTCTGGTGACCTTCTCAATAGTTACCAGTGTCTGTGTACTCAATGTCCACCACAGATCTCCAAGTACTCACACTATGCCCCCTTGGGTAAAGCTGGTGTTCCTTGAAAGGCTCCCAGCCTATCTGTTCATGAAGCGTCCAGAAAATAACTCCGCACAGCAAAAGCTGTGCAACCGCAAAAAGACAAAAGGAGAGAAGCCAGCAGACTTCTACAAGAACTCTACCTATTTTCTGAATACAGCCTATGCCAAAAAATACGATACGAAAATCACGGAGACTCCCGACAATGTCAGCAGTCATCGAGAGTTTAGGTTAAGAACAGGCACCAAATTTTCTCCTGAAGTCCAAGAAGCAATTGATGGAGTCAGTTTTATAGCAGAGCATATGAAAAGTGATGACATCGACCAGAGCGTAAGTAAAAAAGAGAAATCATCCCGGTCTTCCCAAACGTCATCTCCTGCCCTCTTCTGTAACACGCTGTTCTTCAGACAGCATAGTTGAGCTCCCTAGCTATTCTCAAGTTTTAAGAGAGACTCTAGCTTTAGCTTATAGAGGAAATAATTTTTGCTATTAAAAGAACTTAATAGCAATCTGGTAAACCCCAATAAACCCCCAATACTCTCCTGGAAAGTAACATGGCTGTTTCTACCACGAGAGATTGTTGATTGCCCACTAAGTCATTAAACACCCTTGAAAAAGCTGTGCTGTCACATTCAAGTAGTGTTTGACAGGGAAAAATATTCAGTTCCAGGTCAGAAAAAGAGTACTTTTCTCTCTTTTGTTCAGTAAGATTGTCACTCAACCCATGGCCAGGCCCTGTTAACCAGAAACAATCTACCTGATCAAGCATTTATTCACCTAACTGTGAACTGTAAAATTAGTAAAATTAGTAAAATGCCTTTGCAAACACCTTCTCTAGAGATATCTGTCCACTTGTGGCAAACACAAGGGGTAGGATCGAGAGCTTAATGCCAGTTGACCTGCCACTTCTTTCATTTGAGTGAATCAGAGTTGTTATTGGCTATGAGAAGTACTTTATACAGGACATATTTAAGCAATGATGCTACCACCCTGTTCACGTGCTCTGCCCATGTGCCACTAGTTAACACACTAAAACTGATATAAATACACTGTGAATAATGCTTGTGAAAACTCAGATGGTTCAGGGTTTTGTTTAGACAAGCACCCATACTTTGGAAAAATCATCCTCACACGTACCAGTGTCCTCTCTCTGACCCAAAGCCCACTGAGAATCTGGGTTCTCTAGTCTTGGTGTGCTCTCCTCCCATAGCCAAGCTGATTAAATAGTCTGGTTTCTGATCTTGCAGAAATCCCTTGAGGATTATGCTGCTGAGTAGTTCATGTTTTCTATTAACTGAAATTACTGTCAATATAAATAAAGAAGATCAGCTATTAACATTAGACATGAGCTTGTAAACATTGAAACCGAGGGAACAGAAGCAGACTCCTTAGGGCAGAGAAAAAGGCTTCTAATAGCCCAGAAATTCTAGCACAAATTCGTAGCACACCAAAGGATCTACAAAGCTTCCACTTGATACTAAGACAATTTTATACATTAAAAATTATTTGAATGCTTTTCACAGCGTTCTCTGATATCACGTATCAATTTCCTAGATCCCTAATTTTAATCTCTACTTTCTTCCTTAATTAGCAGTCTGGTAGCAACTGTTCGTGCACATTTACTGTGGTCTGATTTCAGCAGCACACAATTCCCATTAGCATCAGTGGAAACTTAATATAAGATATGGGATAATTGACAAGCATGCTAAAGTCACTGAGGTGAGACTGTCCCATGTGGAATCATGAATCAGTGAGAGAGGAAAAACTAATCATTTCAGAGACGCAAACGAAGACAGATATATTCCCCCTTTACAATAATAGCCCGACAATCACTTCAGTTTGAAGACAGACTCTAAGGCCATGACTTTCACAGTCAACATACGCAAGGCAAAAAGGGATTTTAATAAAAGCAACAGTATTAATATGCATTAAGACCCTTGATTAAGATGACTGCTGATAAGAACAGAACTCTGAAGCTAATCTTGTCTAACAGCAGTAAACACCATCTATTTTCATCCACTGAGATTAATAGCATATGCAAACTAAAATTGAAGAAAAAATTCTTTATTTGGATTATACTGTGGGTCGTGCAGGACTGGCTCCCACCAGGCAGCCGTGCTCAATACCTGCTGCTATCTAAGGCACCTAAGAAATATTTAAGGCATTTTCCTCCACTGCCCAGAATGTCGTAAGAGAAAAATCCCTTCCCAAGCTTGAAATAAGTTTATTCCTTGAACCTTGAGATTTGTTTCCTTTCATTTTCATGAACAAAACCTTGGCATTAGCAAGAGCAAGAGCAAAAGAACGTGACAAATTGCTAATACCTTTAACTGGCTTTTTCTTTCAGGTCATTGAAGATTGGAAATACGTTGCCATGGTAGTGGACAGGCTGTTTCTTTGGATATTTGTCCTTGTTTGTGTCTTGGGGACTGTTGGATTATTTCTGCAGCCACTTTTTCAAAACCACACTGTTGCCATGAACCCTTAGTTATCATTTAAAATTGTCAATACTTACATAGATGTTGGGTCTCATCCTGCTCTCAATTCCCCTCTGTTAAACCCACAGAGATGCCAACTGAGTTGCTCTTACATCAGATTTAGAGTAGGGAAATGGAAAGTAGAACTTACTGTGATAGGAAAAAACCCCAAAATTAAAAGAAAACTATAATTTTTTCCAATGAATTCAGTATTCTGGCCCTTCTTTTATTATTTGAAGTCTGAACATTACAGAGAAAGGTTTTTACTGTACAATATGCCATCCTGGCTCACAAGGATTATTATTAAGTATTTTATATACATTGCCTCAGGAAGGACATTTTCTTTCCTCAGAATACTGTAATTTCCCCGTTGCAAAGAAAATACTGCTATGAGATTTATTTCCTTCAAATGCATCAAAACTACTTGTGTCTGATTTATAATATGCTTTACAAGTGGAACTGCTGTTTAGCTGTTGGAGTATGAATTTGAAAATGGAACTGAGAAACGAAGACCTACTTCTGAGGTAATCACCAATAAATTTCTCACCTTGCCATCTCTCACAGCTGACTGATCAAGAGAGGCCAAATCAACATATGGTAAACGAGTATATGTATACACTGTTCAGTGATGAAATTGAAATAAAATGTGACGTTTTCATTTATAGATTTAGTCCTCAAGTGTTTTTGCAACTTTAACAGCTACCGTAACTGGAATTCATACACCCTTATACAAATCTAAGGCTAAGAGCACAGGACAGCATCTGGAGAAGACAACTGTGAAAGGCAGCTAGAATGAGCAGAAGACACCTGAGAACAAACACACCTGCATGTTTCACTGGGGAGATTTTAATGTGGATTTGAGTATAATCCCAATAAATTAGCTAGGAAAACAACACAAGTACAGTCTTTGGCAGAGGACAGATCAAGGCCCTTACACTCCCATCACACTTTGTACCAGGTAGCTTGCAACCTGCAGAAAGAGGAGACAGCTCCTGGCATTTTTCAAGCTAAACCAATCTCAGCTGCTCCTCAGGGTATTGTCAGAACACATACAATTTTACCACCAATAGTAAGTACAACTAATGTCCAGTGAACAAATTGCTAAACTCCACTACTGCTTGTGAAGGGGATTTGAGGCTCTCCTGTCCCAGGGGAGGATTACCTGACACCTAAGCCTGTGTTCTTCAACAAGTCAGGGGGCTGGAACTAGATGATCTTAAGGTCCTTTCTAATCCTAACTATTCTATGATTCTGTAAATCACAGATGAAGACAGCTCCAGCTCTATTTGCCTTCATCAAAACCAAGCTACATCTCTACCTAGATCGCCATCTCCAGACAACTACAGATAACTACATACATTTCAAGATCCCAAAACAGCTACACCAACAGTTTTCCAACTGTTCAGAGCAACTCCAGGACCTTTGCTGATTCCTGTGTTCACCAAAGGTCCTGGTCCTGCTCATGTGCCGAGCTCCCAGACATTAACTGTTCTGGATATTTCTCAAGGTGACTGGTGGGCTGCATAAAATTTAATGGGACAAACCTGCTTTCCCCACCTCAAATGTCTTTTTCTACTCAAACCTACAGAGCCGAGCTATTTCTCTACAGACAACCGAAACAGAGTTTTGAGATGAGATGGGGCACAGGCAGCTCCTTAGGAGCAGAGGGGTGTATTCACCCATGCAGGGAGCGGCTCCTCTATGTTAAGTTATATGCTGGGAGCTGATGTGGCACAGAGCATCACCAGCACACATGCACGCACTGCCCCAGCTGGTTTTGCCACTCACATGGAAGCCAGAGGAGCTGCCAGCACTGCGCAGACAACGTACAAGTGAAGCCCCTTTAAATCTCACGATAAACCTAAACAATGAATCTGAAAGAGAAGACACAGACTTTAAATGTTTCTGTGAGCTTCTACACAGCTCTGCAGGGCGGAAAGGAGAGGGAGTCACCCAGCCAAGCAACCAGGAGCAAGTCAGCCGTGGATCCTGCATCCACCTGACTGAAACTGGACCCGTGCAGAGCAGCGACCCCTCTCTCTGCTCTTGTCACCCAGCTCCAACTACTTTTGGCTCTGTCCCACTCTCACCCTCTTGCCAATCACCACTCCCATCTCCAGTCCCTCATTGCCTGAATGCAACTGAAATGAGGCTTCCAGTACTCCCATCTCACAGTTGCCCTTATCTTTATGAGCAGTAATGACTGATGGTGCTTGGCTCTGTAACTGCAACCTTCAGCTGAATTATGCTCTGCACAGACAAAGGTTTCAGGAAGAATTTGGCAGCTCAGCCAGCAGCTAACACAGAGCATGCTCAGATGGAGGCCTCAGACCTGACAAACCCTGAAAAAGCTTTTAAAAAGCACATCACTGCCCCTGGGGAGATCCCTGCAGAACTAGAGCTCCTCATACAGGCGATGGTGGGCTCTGGTGCTTTCCGTCCACTGTGCTCACTTTACTCCTTTTTTCACCACAAGTAAAGCAATATGCTCTTCTCTAGTTATGTTCTTGGAAACCACCACTCTAAAGTTTCAAGTTTCCAGAAATAATTCCATCTATGGAATGGAAAATTTCACCCAAAGTCCTCAAATTTGGAAAACTGACCTCCTAAAACTGTACTTTCGAAATGGGAAATGCTTTTTCTACCTAACCCTCAGCAGCTCCACTTATGTAATACCCAGCAGTATTCCCAGTTTAACTGCTCAATGAATTGCAGGGCTTTCTGCATGGAGTTTTTGGCAAAAGCTCAAAAATAAAATATTTCTGAAGAAAATGAAACATTAAAAAATGTCATTTGGCGGCTAAAATGAGTGAGAGAATGTCCCAGTGCCTCAAAAAAAAAGTAAATTCCAATATTTCCCATTTTCAGGTGGTTTACAATAATGTTTTCCATTAAAAACAATAAGAAAAGTGGTCATTCAGAAAGTATTTTTTCACTAAAACTTTTTTTTCAGTGGCAATGTGGATCCAGGCTTTGCCTTGGTTGGCTCCCTCCCCATTGCCTACCATTACAAACCTCTTTGAGCCTGACCAATACACCAAAACATGCAGAAGTGCCACCATCACCACACACAGTCACCATCTGTGTCCAGGTGAGGTGATTTGGGACTGCTTCTGCATCCCTGCAGCCACTAGAAAGAAAACTAGACAGATGAGCAGTGTTGGCATTTCATAGAGGGAGCATCAATACCCCAGACAAAGGTGAGAAAATATTCTTTTCCTCATCACCTGAGTGCATTGAGATTTGATCTAAGCAAAGCAAAACACCTCTAAAAGTGGTGTGTTTACTAAAAAGCAAGGGCTATGTAGTTTGTTACTGCAGATCTTCTTGGGTAGAGTAGCTTCCCCCTTCCTACACAAATTCTTTGATGTGGTTCTGCAATGCAATATGGAGACACCTTATCACATCACTCTCCCCAGCCATAAAAATGTATTCCACTACAAACCTGAGTGGATTTCGCCAGGAGCTCCAACATGTGGTTTTACAAACAAAATACTGGTGCATACAACCACCACTGAAAATCTCAGTAACTAGGAAATAAAGCTAAAATGCCTGTCTATCTTGATGCAAAGGCTCTTTGCTGCCTTTTGCAGGTCATGTGTCTCCAAGGTATTCAGGTTTAAGCACTGGCTTTTGGGGAATATGGGTTATAATCTGGTCTTTTGAAACTTTAGCTCATTTCTAGTTGGGACAAAAAAGAAATAAACAGAACCTCAGTTATAATGCTGCTTATACACAGAAACCAAGGCAGCAGAAAGGGAAAACATCTCGTCTCAATGCCCTGGAAAAGCAAAAACCCACAAGGGGTTAAGCTAGAAGACCAAGCAGCTGATTTCTCTGGAAAAAAGACATAAAATCAAATGAACAGCAAAGGCTATTTCCTCCAAGCTAATAGAATTACAAAAATTATCCTAAGAGCATGTGTCTGGGGATGGAGTGAATGATGCTCTGAGAGATAGGGCAAACAGGATAAACAAGTTCTGTGCCAAGAACAGCTGAGCTGAACCCGCTCTGGTGCTCTTCCTCCCAGTGCTACCTCTTGACACAGTGCCAAAAGGGGTCATCATTTATCCTTCCCTAACAGCAGGGAGTGAAGCACATACTGGTTGCAGCTTCCAGTCCCACAGGGCTTCCCCTGTCATTTCTAAACACAAAGGTGGAATCCCACGTTTTTCTCTCACTCCCCTCCCTCCCTCCACACAGACTGCTCAGATGTGTACAACCACCACTGCCTGAATGAGCATCACCTGGTCATTCAATGTGGGGCAAAAAGTGACATAAAAGCTACCAGTGAAGCTGATGGGCAGCTGGGGAATGAGCCACTGTGCAATTCATGCTTTTACAATTGAACTTCAAAATCAACTTCCCATTCTCTCCCATCTCCTTCCCCTGAACAATAAGGTTCTGTGGGACCAAGCTGGCATTCTATGGTCTTATTTCTCTTCCCAAATTTCTAATCCATCAAAATAGGATCAGTCGAAAGGCACTTATTCTCAAGAGTTTGGTCAAGCTTGATCTCCAGCTCAAACCCCTGGCTCTTGCTAGATCCCAACTGCTATGTACATTGCTCTGGGCTTAGATCCTGTCAACAGTAGTACATGCCTTTAATTACTCCTGGGAGTAGCACATCCTTTTTAATACAGTCAAGCACCTAGCACCTGCCAGAGGAGACAGGCAAGGAAAAAAATCTCAACATTAACATCATAATTGGAAATTCAGGTCCCATGATTGCAGTTCACTGCTAAATCAGGCATCTCTAATGCCAACACCCATTTCAGCACAATTCAATTATAAGGCTTTTATTAATTAAACTTCTCCTAGTAGACTGGTGTGGCATATTGAAGGCACGGACTCAGGTTGGTGAGGATACTGAGATAAACTTTATTACAATCAAGCCCCTTCTATTCCCTCATTCGGTACTTTGGCAACATGCCCGGCATGCCACACTTTTCCTGTTTCCCAGTATCCTGGCTTATCTGTCTCCCAACATCCTGGCCCATCAGCCCAAGGTTTGTTCGGTATGAGGGCCTCATAGCTTGCATTCAGAGTGTTGCTCAAGCTCGTCATGCAGATCCTGTCGTCTTTCCCTCCCACAGACTGGCATGAGCTTCTGATAGAGAAGGAGCCTGTATAGCAGCTGAGTGGAAAAATCTTTAGCATTGTCAGATTACCAGGTTCATTTATGCACCACTTTAAGGACTTTTGCCTATTATCCTTG